GCTAAGGTTTTGTCAATTTTGTTTATCTTTTCAAAGCAACGAATCCTAGTTTTGTTAATTATGCTATTGTTTTCCTTTTCTTTATTTCACTTATTTCTGCTTTAATAATTTTTATTTCCTTTATTAAATTTACTTTCGGCTTAGTTGTTATAGTTTTTATAGTTCCTAGAGGTATAAAGTTATGGTCTTTATTTGAGATCTCTCTTTTTTCTTTATTTAGTACAATAAAGTTTCCCTCTTACAACTGTCTTTGGTGCATCCTATAAGTTTTGATGTGTTGTTTTTCCATTTTTGTTTGACTTATGATGCTTTTTTATTCCCTTTTCATTTCTTCTTTGATCCATTGGTTGTTCAACAGTGTATTGTTTAGTTTCCATGTATTTGTGAATTTTTCGCCCTTCACCCTGTTATTGATGTCTAGTTACATTTAATTGTGGTTGGAAAAGATACTTGGTATTATTTATCCTTAAATTTTTTGAGAGTTGTTTTTGACCAAACATATTATCTGTCCTAGATAATGTTCCATGTGCACTTGAGAAGAATATAGATTCTGCCACTGTTTGATGAAATATTCTGTATATATTTGTTAAGTCCATTTGTTCTATAGTGTTGTTCAATTCCTCTGTTTCCTTACTGACTTTCTGTCAGGATGATCTGTCCTTGTTGAGAGCAGGATATTAAATTCCCCAAATGTTATTGTATTGCTATTTATTTCTCCTTTGTTTCTGTTGGTATTTGTTACATATATGTATGTAGTTTGATCTTAGGGTCTAAATATTTATAATTGTTATAACTTTTGATGGATTGACCCATATATTATCATATAATGTCTTCTTCCTCTTTTGACTATTTTTACTTAAAGCTTCTTTCATCTGATACAAATATTCCTACTTCTTTCTTTTGATTATCATTTACTTGAAATATTTTTTTTCTTCTCTTTACTCTCAATGTGTATCCTTAAATTAAAGTGAGTCGCTTGTTGGTAACATATTGTTAGATTTTGTTTTTTCATTCATTCAACTACTCTATGTCTTTTAATTAGAAAATTTTAATTATTTACATTTAAGGTAGCAATTGTTAGTTAAAGAGATGCTATTGTCAGTTTGTTAATTGTATTCTGGCTGTTTTATAGAACCTGTGTTTCTTTTTTTCTTCTTTTGCTGGCTTCCTTTTTGATTTTATGACTTTTCGTAGTGGTGTACTTGGATTCATTTCTCATAATCTTTTGTGTATCTACTACAAGTTTTTTTCTTTTTGCTTACCATGAGGCCTACATAAAATATCTTAAATTTGTAACATGCTATTTTAAACTGGTAACAATTTAACTTCAAAAGCATACATAAACTTCACACTTTTACTTCCCTCCTCACATTTTGGGTTATAAATGTTACAATTTACAGTTTGTTTGCTTGTTTCCTTTTTGGTGAGGAAGATTGGCCATGAGCTAACATCGGTTGCCAACTTTCCTCTATTTTGTATGGCAAATGCTGCCACAGCATGGCTTGATCAGCAATGTGTGGGTCTGTGCCTTGGATCCGATTCAGTGAACCCTGGGTTGCAGAAGAGAAGTGCATGAACTTAACCACTATGTCATCAGGCTGGCCCCAAAATTTATATGTTTTTGCACTGTTAATCCATTAATGAATTATTATAGCTATGGTCATTTTTAATGCATTTGTTTTTAACTTTTAGACTAGAGTTGTAAGTGAATTATGCGCTACTGTTACAACATCAGAGAATATGACTTTGACTATATATTTACCATTTCCAGTAAGTTTTACACATACATTCATATTTTTGCATCATTTATTTCGTCTTGAAGAACTCCGTTTAACATTTCTTATAAGACAGGTCAGTTGTGAAGAACTCCTTTACCTTTTCTTTGTTCAGGAAAGTCTTTATCTCTCTTTCATTTCTGAAGGACAGCTTGCCAGATGTGGTATTCTTGGTTGAAAGTTTTTCTTTCAATATTTTGAATATTGTTCTAATCTGTCCTGGCTGCAAAGTTTCTTTTGATAAATCTGTCTATCGTCTTATGGGTTTTTCTCTAATGTGATGAGTCACCTTTCTCTTGAAGCTTTCAAAATTCTTTCTTTGTGTTCAATTTTTGACGATTTAATTATAAGATGACTTAGTGTAGCCGTTTTCAAATTTAACCAATTTTAGGTCCTTCATGCCTCATGGAATGGACTCTAGATGTGCTCCATGGAAGCTAGATGACCATTTCTCTTGCCCAGTTTGGGGACTTTTCAGGAATTAGTGCTTTTAAATATATTTCCTGCCACTTTCTTTTTCTCTTCTCCTGAGATTCCCATAAAGCATATGTTGTTTCTATTGATAATGTCCCATAAGTCCCATGTGCTTTCTTTACTCTTTCATTATATTTTCTTTCTGCCTCTCTGACTGTATAATTTCAAATGACCTATCTTCTAGTTTACTAATTCTCTTCTCTCTCTCTTTTTTTTTTTTTTTTTTTTTGGCTTGGTCAAGTGCTGTTGAAGCTGTCTATTGAGCTCTTCAGGTCAGTCATTGTTTTCTTAAACTCTAGGATTTCTGTTTGTTTGAGTTTTTTATAAATGGTTTTTATTCTTTGTTGAAATTCTTGTGTTTTTCTTGCAATGTTTTCCTAATTTTTTTAAGTTGTCTTTCTCTGTGTTATCGTAGATCATTAAACTTCTTTAAGAGGATTATTCTGAATTCTTTATCAGATATTTTACAGATATCCGTTTCTTTAAGGTCAGTCATTGGAGCTTTATTAGTTTCCTTTGGTGGTGTCTTGTTTACCTGATTCTTTGTGATCCTTCACTGCTTGTGCTGGTTTTGTACATTTGAGTAAGTGATCTTCTCTACCAAGCTTTGCAGGTTTGCTTGGCAGGGACAGTCCTTTGTCAGACAGCTCAGCTTGGGGTTCTGAACAGGTCTGCTTATGTTGTCCTTGTGCAGGTGGGCCTTGCTCTTGAGGTCTTTAATTGGGTGCAGTCTCTATTTGGGTGAAGCCATTGACTGTTCACTGAAATCAGAGGTGGTGCCTGCTGACCAGGCTCTGTGGTTGTATAGGCCTGCTGTGTGACTCCACATTCAAGTAGGGCTATAGGGTGGGCTCCCTGATTGAGTAGGGTTGCTGGCTATGCTCCATAGCCTGGTGGAGCCACTGGCTGGGCAGTACCTCTGTCAGGCAAGGCTGCTGGCTGTGTTCCCTGACAGGGCATACCATTGGTTGGACTCCTCACTTGGGCTATGCTATGGGTTTGGCTCTGCAATCACTCCTAGTTTTGGGTGGAGATTCAGGCTGAGGTCCTTGGCTGGATGGTGTTTCTGGCTGGATTCTGCATTTAGACTGGGTCTCAGGCAGCACTTTGTGGTCAGACATAGCTTCAGGTTTGCTATGCAATCAGTTGGGGATGCAGACTGAGATCTGAAGTTGGACAGGGCCACAGTCTGTGCTCTGCTGTTGTGCAAGGTCATTGACCAGGCTCTTTGGTTGGGAGGGGCCTCCCACTGTGTCCTGCAGTTGCATGGGGCTAGAAACTGTGCACCACAGTCAGACGGGGTTCTGTACAAGTTCTGTCATCAAGTGGGTCCACAGGCAGTGCTCTATAATTGGACAGGGTCACTGGCTCGGTTTTTTGCTTGGGGAAGGCCACATGTTGTTTTCAGCAATTAGGCAAGGCCATAGGCTGGGTCCTGCTGCGGGATGGGGCCGTAGGCTGGGCCCCATGGATGAGTGGTACCGTAGACTGGATTCTAATGCTCTCCAGAGTCACTGTTAGGCTCCTTGTTTACACAGAGCTGGAGGCTATATTTAACAGTTGGACAAGACTGCTGGCTTGGTTCCCTACCCAAGTGTTGCTGTAGGATGAGTTCCACAGCTGCCCCAATTCTCTAGTCTGGCTTCCTGGTAGAGCAGTACTGGAAGCTATACTTAGCAGTTGGGTGGGGCTGCAAATTTGAATTCCACCCAAGGCAGGGCTGTAAAATGGTGTCCACAGCCAGCATGGCTTGCTGGCTGGTGACTGAACCAGACAGAACTTCCCCTTGAGCTCCCTGGCCAGACTGAGCCATCAGCTCAGCTCTGTAGATGGGCAGAGCCACTGGCTGAGGCTTCTACTTGGATGCTGTTGCAAGCATGACTGTAGGATGGGCTACACAGCTGTCCAGGTTCTCTAAATAGGATTTCTGGTCTGTCCAGACTGGAGGCTATATTCAGCAGTAGGTGGGCCTTTGAATTAACTTCCCTGCCTGGACAGGGCCATAGAACAGGCTCCATGATCAGCATGGCTCACTGACTGTGACCTGAACCAGGCAGAGCTGTCCATTGTACTCCCTGGAAAGATGGGACCACTGGCTCAGCTTTGTAGATGGACAGAGCCAGGGGGACACAACTATAAGTAAGCCTATGGTCCACCAAGATCTGAGCACTGGTTACAGTCAAGTAGCACAGATTCCCCCAATGATCCCCGTGGGGTAAGACCCAAGTGGGTCTCCTGGGAAGTGCCCTAAGTGCTTCCTCCTGGTGATAGTGGTTGTCTACCTTCAGCTCTCTTTTTTGCACTGGAGAAACCACAGGCCCAGGGGAGCCCTCTGGGTGTGGCACCATGCAGGCCTTGGGGAGGGACAATGCAGGCAGAATGTATCTGTTCCTGTTACTCTTTTAATGCAGTCCTTCTCAGTCACTGTGGTTTATATGTGTGCTTCAGCTTCACCTCCAGGTTCGGGGATTTTCACAATTGTGTCTTGTCTATGGATATTTGCTGGTTGATCTGTCAAGAGGATTGAAGTTGAGAATGACTTACATCACCATTTTGATGATGTCACTCTCTCATATAGTTCTTAAAATATAAGAAACAAGATTAAAACTATGGGATAAGAAATTTTGTGTTTTTTCTGATTTTTAATATTATGTATGTATTTTCCTCATTTTGAAAATGAAATAGAAATCTTGGTTTAACAGGGTTATATTTTACCTATGAATCTAACCCTCTTATACTGATGAATTTCAGACTTTCAAGCTTCTTGTGAATATCAGAATATGTTGGACAATGACACCCAGGAATATGAGAACTCTATGGTTAACATGAAAAATAAATGCTTTTCAAAGGATCAGTTAAATTCAGGTATGGGGTAAAAATAAGCATTAGCAACTAAAAACTGGGTAACAAGTTATTGCCAGGCAGCCTCTATTTCGTTATTAAACTAATGATCTACAAAAGTTAAGTATGGTAGAGATATTTTTCAAGGGGATTGCAATTTCTTACCACATAGTCTGCCTACATCTTTGAATAGGGGATAATCAGACTTTAGCAGTTTCTGCTCATTGGTCCATCAGCTAATTGACTTTGCAAGTAATAGGAGGAAAGAAATAGTTTTTGGACCTCTTTCAGAGCCATATCAATCAGCACAAGGATTTTTTCAGTGCATTTAATTTATAGTATGCATATAGTATGGTATAATTGTTTCATGATTTCATATTTGGCTATGGGGGGATATTGTCCACTGATCCTTTGTAAACCTCTACTATTGTACGTACAGTTTTGCTAACCAGACTTCCTTAAAACAAATCTCTACTCCTGACTTGCTCAAATGGGTGAAATTCACATTGCAGGGAATTCCATCCTGTCTTTCAAAGTTATGAGCAACCTGGAATTCAGGGAACTTCCCTGAAGTTTCCTTAAGTCGTCAACTGAAGCAGCCAATTCAGTAGAACTCATATCCATATACATTTGCTTATTTTGAATAAACATTGCAGTAGGACTTTCACCTTCTGTTCATATTGCCCACTGCTACCAGTTGCCTTAAAAATTTCCTCCTAGAGTATAATTCAGTTACCTTGGATTTGCCTTCTGTGAAAATAAATTTGAGGATGACTTTTTAGTAAATTATATTTTTTGTTTTTACATTTTTCAGATAGAAAAATTTGATGGACAGGAGAAGGGAGAGATGGATTGTATTCTTTCTTTAAACAAATAATTACTGTGCTTTTATGACGCTAGAAAAGTCATGGAGGAAAAAGGTTCTCAGTATAGGTATGAAAATCAAATGATGAGAAAAATACAGTTTGAAAACTCTTGAATAGTTCCTTCTTTTGCACTTATTCCATGGTGCCCATGGTGTTGGAGCAAGCTTTGAAGGAAAAGGAAACTATTGTTTCCCTCTCAACAACAAATATGTTATTTTTGCCAACTAAGGCAGTGCTGGTGTCCTCAGATTTCATGGAGAACAATAACATCTGTAGGACTGGGCAGGGTGTCTGGATTGCAGGTCCCAAGAGCAGAAACTTTCCAAAGAGAATCAAAATAACTTTTTTTTTTAAAGAAAAGTATGGAGAAGCACGCAAAAACAAATGGTCTTGCTGTGGAGAGAAATGCTACTATTTTTCTGACAGACATAAAAACTTCGAAGAGAGTCGTAAATTCTGCATCAACCTGGGCTCCCGTCTTTTGAAGATAGAGGATAAGGATGAACAGGTAATGAGTTTTGAAATGGTAATTTTTTCCATATATTTTGTATCCAAGGAGAAAATTGCTTTAAAAAATTTTAAGAACAGCTGAAAGCAATGTGTTTGTTAAATGACAATGACTTGTCTTTGCTAGTCTCAACACAAATAATCCATAACCAATCTATAAGTCAAAATTGGGATGAATTTATTATGAGCCAGTTCTGAGGACTACCCTGGGGCCTTCCTTCCAGAAGGAAGGGCACCAAAGAAGTGGGGTGTATGGAGTGCTTATATACCATCAAAGAGCATGTATCACATATGATGGGAATGTCTCTTTTACAACAGTCACAAGATTGCCTAGCTGACACAGTGATTCACACAGCAGGTAGCAGGTCTGCTGTCTTGATGGACGCAGCAGGTAGCAGGTCTGTTGTCTTGAGCTTGGTGGTCACAGGTTGAGCACAGCAATCAATTCCTAGCCTAAGGAGAGATGCTTATCCTTAAGGAAATGCCAATGTTGGGGAAGATGCATCTTTATCTTAAGGGCATTTGTTCCTGTCTTTGGGACATAGTAAATACTTAAAGCATATAGAAAATGCATGCACAGTGGCCATGTCAGGTCATTTTGGAATAATAAGGTCAGGCCAAATTAGTTTTACACCAAATGACTTCCTCACATACTCCAATATATCCTATTGCTTTCCATTTATTTATCACAGGTCAAATGGAATGATCTGTGGGGAATGAAGGGCTCCCTTGTTATTGGGAACTGCAGTATCAGAGTTATATTTTTGTTTAGGGACAAAGCTTTAAGGACTATTGCTGATTCTGTGTCTGCTCTAGGCAGCAAACTGAGGTTTCTGAACTAAAGGGCATCTCTCATGAAGCTATCATGGGAGTTGTCCTGTTTTCATGTTGTTATGTTTTGAAGTCCATTGATAATAATGGATCTTCAGTGTGTGAATACTTGTGGCATATTGGGAATGATTAGGCAATGATAACCAATCCTAATGGAAAGTATGAAAAGAGTTTAAAAAAATGACCATTCTTTGTGTTCGCATTATTTTCATGGTTGCATTGTTAAAAACAGACAGAAGGACTAAATCACATGAAGGATTCTTTCTTCACAGGAATTTATTCAGTCTTTGGTGTCTTATTTTTATTGGATTGGATTATCTCGAAAAGGGATTATCAGCCCCTGGATGTGGGAAGATGGCTCCTTGATGCATTATAGTTTGTAAGTATTCAAGACATACGTGAAATCTTCAGTTTATTTGTTATTAACTATGGAAATGAGTTGCTCAGACAAGTTTCACAAAGCAGGGTTTTCTGACCTCAACAGCAACTCTAATGGATTAATTTTAGTTTTATAAAACATCCTAGGCATTATAAAAACACTGCAGATTTCCGTGTTTCTCTACTTGTATTCTTGCCATTTCCTCAACCAGCAATGCTCTCTCCCTTAGTACTCAGTTAAAATTCACTCTCTCTTTGAAGACGTTTTTGATCTCCTACTTTGAAATTATTTCCTCCTCTATTCTCCTAAATCACTTTTTTTCCTTTGACCATTTCATATCCAATCTAGAGTTTAGTGCCACTCAACTCTTGTTCACCCACAGCACATAACACATAGTACTTGGGGGTTGTTTAACAAACTTTTAAAAATTTATCAATATGAATAGTAATAAATTCTTCTAGATTTGAAAATATATAGAGGATAGCTAAAATTTTTGAGTTTCAATGACTAGTCCCATGGTCTAAATCAAGCAGTTACACAGTATTATGCATAACTTAATCTATCATCACTGTCTTCACTATCTAGCAAAGCACATTCCATGTCACAAACAAGTATAGACTAACAGGAAAGAATTCAAAAATGAGTTGGATTGGGCTCAGTGTAATATATTTTTTTCATTATATATTTTTCTGTGACCCATGGAACCATAGAATTTTAGAACTATAAATAATGTTGGAGAACAGGTGAATTTTTTTACAGATGCTAAATAAACTAAGAAAATCCTAATAGCTATTAATGGCAGAGATAAGCTGAGGACTAGGTCACCTATTTCTAGATTTGGTCCTTCTTTACTGGTTAGAATGCTTTTTTTTGATGAAATAAATTTTTGTTCCAAATTTGCAGTTTCTCACATGAGATATACTGTTTTTATATATCTCCATATTTGCATATGCTATACCCTTTATCTGGATTACCTTTAACTCCACTCTTCATCTTGTTAGATCTTATGCAATAATTTATTAGATGATTAGATCAGTCATTTACTTATTCATTCATGCATGCACTGATTTAACCCTTCTTAAGCCATGTACCAGGTTCTGTGTAGTGACTGGATACATAATAGAAAGTAAGTTGGAAGTAGTCCAGCTTCACAGTGTGTGTCTCTTCTTTACGACTCAGCTTAAATGTTACCACATCCAAATAGCTTTCCCTGGCAAACTCTTTCCCCCTTGTTTGTGTTAGAAGCTACTCTTTTGTGGCCAGTGAATGTGTCATTCTCTCAGAAGGTGAACTCCTTGAGGACAAGAATAAGTTTTCTCTGTATCTGTGTTTCTGGGCCTTGATGTATGGTGGTGCTTTAGAAATGTTTACTGACTGAACAAACAGAGAAATACCTAAATATACAACTTCTGTCTTGTCTGTAGTAGTTTTTCCACTGAAACTATGATTTATATCTGACCATTAGGCTCAGTTTATCTTTTTCCCCCCTCATTAACAGAGCGCTACAGGGGTCAAATGTAAACAACAACAACTGTGTGTATACCACAGCAACTAAAGTGGTAGCTGCTCTCTGCACCAAGCAGGTTTTCTTTATTTGTGAGAAGAATTATACTAATTTTGATCTCAAATTGAGTGAAGATAAATGAAGTAATGAACAGTCTGGTGTATCTACTTTTTACCTGCAGGATGCAGGTAAATATTCTGTGTTCTTGACATTGTTCAATTTACAAGATTAACTGCCTGTGTAAGAGAATTTGTAATTTGATGTAGATATATTGAGTGTCAGAGCTTCATCTGGATGGGAAGTGGGGTGATAAGGGGCTTCTTTGACTTGATTTCAAGTTGATTTTTTTGATGAAAAGTAAACATTATAATTCAGAAACTATTAATGATATTCTTTTTTCCTCTATTTCAGCTGGATTTCCTTGCAACATATTGTGTTCCTTATATACTTTTTGAAGAAATGGCCAATACATTTGCGTTATTTTTGAGTTGACGTTCAGGAAATACACCTTCTGAAATCACGATGGACCATGATGTGACTATTTACACACATTTTCCTTTTTCTGAGAAGTATACTAATACATTCAGATAGAATGATTCTCATTTCTGTCACTTCCATTTTATCACTTTTAGGTTTCAAAGATTTTTGCATTTATGTAAGAATTACTGATTGAAAAATAAAAATAATATAGAAGCACATTGAACGAAAACCTACTCCACAACCCATTCTAATTTCTTTGCCTGTCCAGTGTACACTGTTAATTTGGTTTGTATTGTTCTACATATTTTTTTCTAACATTTGCTACAAATAATTCATAAACTTTCATTGTGTATATATCTCTGTTAATGTATTTAAATATTTCTATAAAGTAGAAATCTAGATGAGAAGTTCCTATGTCAAATAGTAGGCATCTTCCAAATCCTGAAATATCAGTAAATATTTACCTCCTACAAATGCTTTCAATTAGCACCAACACCTAGAATGTGTGTATACCTATTTTTTCAAACTCTTACTAATATTTTATGTCATCAATTTTTAATAGGCATAAATGTTTTTATTGTTATTTTAACTAGTACTTTCAACATTACCTATGAGATGGAGTATGTTTTCCAATGTTTATTGGTCACTCATTCTTCTGTGAATAGCTGTTTTATTTTCTTTATTCATTGATTTTTTAAATTAATTTTCCTCCTTTTTTTTAGTGATTACAAAAAGTGCTTCATATATTTTTATATTTTTACTCAGTATATTTTTATTATTTTCCCGCTTAAGATTTCATGATTTTTATCTTACGTATATGACAATATTTTCCTTTATGACTCTTGGAATTTATGCCTTACTTAGCGAGTTATTTTCTCCCTAATATCAAAAATAATCTTTTATCTTTTTACTGTTTTAGGGAACTTTCAATTTGTAGAATAGGTGAAGGTTTCTGTGAACTGAAATAGTACTCATAGTTACTTGGATTTTAATTAGTATTCAATTTATTGAATCACTTGTCTCTTGTAAAGCTAATATATCAAGCCAAAAATTTAGTATATAGAATTCAAATATTTTAAAGCAGAATCTCCCTCACAAGAAGACCAGCTAGCAACTACCTATAGACAAGACACCATTGTGAAAATCCCAGAACATGGAGGAGGCTGAAGCACCACCCTCTGTATCACAGAGACCAAGAAGGACTATATTAGAAGAGTAAGAGGAATGGCTACAGTCTGACCACATTGCCCCTCCCCGAGGGCAGCACAGCACCTCATGGAAAGGGCACTCCTGGGCCTACAGTTTCTTCAGTGGGTGAAAGAGAGTCCAAGGTGGCCATCTAGCTCCCCCAGCATTGAGGGTCACTTCCCAGGAGGCCCACTTTTGTCTTGCCACATGGGGATTGTGGGAGGAATCAGTGAGCTTGACCACTGAAAATCAAATTGGGACAGGGAAGAGGAATAGGGATTAGAGCAACCAACACTTGGATCTTAGCGGGCTATGTTCCTTTTCATTGTGGCATCTGTGTAGAGATCCAGCCACCACCTTCTCTCAGCTACAGAAACAAGCTGGTGGACCTGTCTTTTAGAGAACTCAGTGCACAGTTCTGCCTGATTTGGGGACCCCAAGCAATGAGGTGTGCAGGCCTTGGAGCCTGTTCTGCTGCCTCTCTCAGGGAGAAAAGCTAATTCATAGCTCCACCTACTGCTGAATACAGCCCAGTCCCACCCAACTGGGGAACCTCACTAGAGCAGCTGGGAAGCTATGTAGCCCATCCTACAGCCTGCTTACCGTGGCATTTGAGTAGAGACTATCCATAGTCAGCAACTATGCCCATCTGCAGAGCTGGGCTGGTGGACTTCTCTGGTCAAGCCAATCAGTGCAAAGTTCTTTCTCATTTGGATCCTCAGCCAGCCAACTATGCCTTTCTTGGAGCCTGATCTGCTCCCCTGCCTAGGCAGGGCAGGAGGTTCATGGCTTCACCTACTGCTGAGTATAGCTTTTAGTTTAACACAACAAGGAAGCCGTTAATAACCAAAGCACCTAGAAGGCTACATAGTCCACTCTACAACCCATTCGCAGTAGTGCCCGAGCAGAGAGCACAGTCAGCAGCTCTGCTCATTTGAGAACTGAGCTGGTGGCCTTGGCTGGGTCAGGGAGATTTGTGAACAGTTCTGCTTGATTTGGCTCCCCAACCAATAAGCCTTACTGGCATGGAGCCTCTTTCATGGCCCTACCTGAGTTGGGAAGCAAATTTAAAGCCCCACCTAGGCCAGAATATAGCCTCCAGCTCTGGCTGAACAGGAAGCCTAATCAGAATATCAGAGAAACTGCATAGCCTATCCTAGAGCCTTACTTACAATGGTACCTAAGAAGAAAGTCCAGGCAATGGTTCTGCCTATCTACAAAGCTAAACTTGTCGTCCTGTCTGGCCAAGAGCTTGGTTGGCAGCTCTACCAGATTTGGGTACTCATCCATTGAGTTTTAATGGCCACACAGCTCACCGAGGCAGGGAAGCAAATTTGCAGACCCAACCAACCACTGAGTAGAGTACCAACCACTTGAATAGGAAGTCTTACCAGAGAATCTGAACAACCATAGAGACCATCCTACAGCCAAGAAGCTAAGCCAGTAGTCCTGTCCAAATGTTCCCAGCCAGTGGCACCTCTCTGACCTCAGAGCTCAGGCAGGGGCCTCACCCAAAAAGAAACCCCAATACAAATCCCCATCTGCCCAATGATGCTACCAGCTGACCTGCCCAGGACCTCAAGCTGAGCTGACTGATGAAACACTGTTTCTGCCAAAGTGAACATCTGAAGTCTGGAAGAGGAGATGGCTTACTCAAATGCAGCAAGAATAATGGATCATGGAGAATCAGGTAAATATGACACCACCAAAGAAAACTAATAAATCTCCAATAACGGACCCTAAAGAAATGGAGATGTATCAACTATCTAACAAAAAACTCAGAATAAACCTCTTAAATAAGTTTAGTGATCTACAGTAACACAAAGACACACAACTAAATGAAATTAGGAAAATGATGTATGAAAAAATCCAGAAGTTCAACAAAGAAACTGTAAAAAAAAAAACATAAATCCTAGAGTTAAAGAATACAATGATTGACCTGAACAATTCAATAGAGAACTTCAATATCACTCAACCGACCAGACAAACAAAAAGAATTAGTGAACTGGAAAATAGATCAGTTGAAATTTTCCAGTCAGAGGAGCAAAAAGAAAAAGGAATGAAAAGGAGTGAAGAAAGCTTACAGTACTTATGAGACAACATCAAAAAAACCCCAATATATGCTTTATGGGAATCCCAGAAGGATAAGAGAAAGAGAAAGAAACTGAAAGTATATGTAAAGTAATAATGTCTGAAAACTTCTGAAACTTGGTGGCAGAAATGGACATCCATATTCATGAGGCCCAAAGACACCAAATAAATTGAACCTGAAAAAGGCTACACTAAGACACATTATAAGTAAATTGTTAAAAGTTAAAGGCAAAGAGAGAATTTTGAAAGAGGCAAGAAAAAGCAACACGTCGCATACAAGGAAACCCCCATAAACTATAGACAGATTTCTCAAAATAAATTTTGCATGCCAGGAGTGGGATGATATGTTCAAAATATTGGAAGAAAAAACCAGTCCTCCAAGAATACTACACACAGCAAAGCTGCGCTACAGAAATGAAGGAGATAAAGACTTTCCTGAACAAAGAAAAGCAGAGGTAGCTCTTCACCACTAGACCTGCCTTACAAGAAATGCTAAAGGGAGTTCTTCCAGAGGAAATAAAAGGATGCTAATTAACATTACAAAAGCATGTGAATGTATGTGCGAAATTCACTGGTAATGGAAACATATACAGTGAGTATGGCCAGCAGCTTGTGTTTTCTAAATTTCTTGGGATTTATCAGAGCAAAGTCTGGATTTCCAGGGGAATGTTTGTATGAAAATATGCACACCATTGGTATAATAACTGTACCAGGTCCTCTTCACACACGTGTGAGAAGGTGGTTTGTGCTAAAAAATCAGAAGAAGGTTAAAGGCAAAGTTATGAGGTTCACATCTCAATAAGATTCTTCATTTATGATCTGCCTGCCTTTATTGTTATTGTTATTTCATGTTATTTGTGACTCTACTTTTTCATGGCAGATACTGATAAATGAGTTTATGACGGAAGTCAGAGTGTAGAGTTACAGAAGAAATATCAGCATAGCACAGAAAACTTAGCAATTCAGGACCTGTTTGATTTTGTGAAAATTATGTAAATGAACTAATAAACATTTCATTTGCCACGAATACTTAGCCTTTTTCATTTTTTTTAATATTCCAAAATCTATTTAGAATTGCAACCCTATACAAACAAAACTTCAGAACAAATATAATGAGAAATATAAGTGATAAATGATTTAACACATGACATTTAAAATATGTCAAAAATACAAGGAAATATCAATAAGTAGCATAAAGCAAAACAAAGAAAATTAAAATTTAATTAAAGTAAACTTCTCAAGTCATCTATTTTCCAAGTTGCTTGCAGAAGTCTTCCTGGCAAATTTTAAATATATCAAGTTCACTTATATTCTTTTATTCTTGCTGCTCCTCTTGTGAAAAGGGATCTTTCCTGTGAAAGGCTGCTTTTGACTGAGCTCTAGATCCATCTTCTGTTCTTCCTCCACTGGTTTAAATTCATTCCATTAATCAACCCCTATCACATACATCCAAGCACTTCTATTTAAAATGCACAACCATCAAGGCATAAGCACACCCACACATTTCTCTCCCTCGCCTTAAACTCATGGCCTTTTCTAATTTCCCCTTATCAGTCTCTTCAAAATGACTGGACTTGAGCAAAGCATCTACACTGACTATGTACTTTCTCACTTTCAAATATTACTCAGAACATGTTACTTGGCTTCCCTTTTCTCATCTTTATTGAGACCTCTTGTTAAAGACACTACTGATTATTTGTTATTCACTCATTCTTTCATTTGTTCAATCGTTTTGAGTGTTTTTTATGTCTCTAGCTCTGTTGTAGGCAGTATGCTTATTTTGTAATCCAGTTTACTTCAATACTTGTGTTATTCGATCTATCAATAACATTTTATTGGAATAATTATTTCATTGTTCTTGACATTCAGTATTATTTTACTTTCATCACTTTTGTTCTTTCTGGTTTTCTTCCTACCACTCTGGTCCTGTACTTTTAGACTCCTGTATGGATTTTTCTTTACCCTGTAATATTTTTCAGCTTGAAGAGTTCATTCAGGAACATCCTATGATTTAGGCTGATTATTGATTTGTCAACACAATAATTTGCTATGATACGAGCAATGAATGAACTGGGATAAATGTTGGGGGCAGGTAGACTGGTGAGGACCTTATTACAGTGGTCAAAAAGACAGATGTTGGTTACACGGTAGCGAATAAAAGCCTAGGTATAAAGTGATTTGTAAAGAGTCAAGATCTATTGTAGTCTAGACACTGCCCGTTATATAGAAAAGCATACTAAAAAACTATTCAAGTCCTGAATTAAAGGAGGTAGAATGAACAAGGGCTCTTTTCTTAATCTATTTGAATGAGAGGTTTTGAACAGTGAATTAAATCCATAAATTAATGTGAAGTGATGTGACTGGACAGCTAGTTGGCTGATGGCGCCATTC